GCGACTCCATCTTCGAGTTCCTCGCCAGTTGGAGCTCGCACGAGCTGGCCGAGCTGTCGAACCTCCGCGGCCGCCTCGGCTTTTCCAGGTTTACTTGAAATCAGAATTGAGGATCTTATAAGGGTTAGGGTTTAGGGTTTAGGTTTATAGGGGTTATATCATCATGGGGATATACAACCCCAAGACTGGAGAATCACATGGAAAATGACGTGGAAAGAGAATATATAGTGGTTAGGGTTTCGGGTTTCCCCAAATCGGGGGTATAATACCTTGTCGGGCCTCCCTGTAATCAGGATCACCGTGTTTTCCGGTCTGTATTGGGGCGACCCCATTTATGATAGAAATTACTAAATGAAAATTCAGGGTCCCTGAACCCAGCAATATATGGTTTGGGCTTTGGGGTTCAGGCTTCCGGGTTTGGATTTGGGGCTTCCGTAGGGTGCTGTAGTTGCAGGGTCTGTGTGGGATGACTTTGCTAAGGTTGACGCCAGGGGCTCTAGGTCATTAAGCCTCAACTTTTTCAGCCGATTGCGGGGATGCATGGGATCTCTGACTCTAGCTTTCTTACGGTGCCACGTATGGTGTTAAATAGGGTATTCTATAGATTTTCATAGTGGCTTTCAAGTGTGCAGAAGCCCAACGTTGAATATCCGGCATTTAGTAGAGTAGGCTTTGGCAGGGGAATGGTAGGATGGCTAGGACTGCTGGACCCTTCTGGGGTCTGTAGGCGTTGCCGCTGTATGGATTTGGGTGTATGGGGTTGAGGGCTTTAAGGGAGATTCGTTGGGGATCAGATACCCGCTAGCGGTAGCGACGGTGGGGGCAGCAGTACGACTAGTCAATGACAGTGGCCTTCAAAAATACTAACCACGAAAACCTGATGATGAAGATCGCCACTGGCACGTTGAGACGATTGTCTGCAGACGCAGGCGGAGTAGTATGAGCAAAGGTTCAGACCAGCGACTTTAGTCCAGGCACCATCAAACGAGAGAGACAAATAGAGATGAGAGTGAGTGACAGAGAGAGAGAGAGAGAGAGAGGGAAAGGAGTGAGTGAGGGGGAGAGAGAGAGAGAGAGAGAGAGAGAGAAAGAGAGAGAGAGGGGCGTGTGGTCATTTACATTTCCAGGGACTGCAAGGGGATGGCTTAGATGCTTGAGAGACAGACGCAATAGTTCCCTGTTCAAGCTTCAGGCCCTATCGTGGCCACAGCGCTGAGAGAAATCATAGATTGAGGAAGTCTTGAAGCGAGTCTGTACCAGGTCGTAATGTGACATGAGGGTAACGCAAGGCTTGTATGGGAGGTTGGGAGATACGTGAGGGCAATCAAGCCCTACCTGGGGAGGAACAGGCCACCTGACAATTCTCTAAAAGAGGACTGAGAGCAATTATAATGAGCTGGCGTCATAGTCGACTCTTGTGGCTGGCGTCTTAGCGCAGGAGTGTATGGGCTGAGCTACTTGGCTTTTCTTGTTTTCAAGCCATGCCAGTAGCGTTTTCAGCACTAGCAGCAGGTGGCAGTAGCAGGGCTTGGGGTGTTGGGTTTTGGGTAAAGGCCAAATCCTTAGGCAGCGACAGTACCACAAGTCGTGCTTACCATGCTAAGTGTAGCCATGCTATTCAGGGGACAATTTGAATAGTATAGATGTCCACCTGCTTCTCTAAAAACCATGATGATCCTTTTCAGAAGACCCCCAACGATGCGATCCTAATTACCCCAAGCAGCAACAGGCCCAAGTCTGAGCTTCTTCCTCAGTAGCGTATCGAAGCATCCGCGTTGACAACATGCCGATGGAATGGAGTGACACTTTCAAGTCTGCCCAAGCGGCGTTGAGCGAGGGAAAGTTCTTCGATGGAGTTCAGGCTATCAATTCATGCATGGAGGCATATGCAAAGGTGGTTGGCGATGAATCTGACCGAGTTCTGCGGGATCCTTCTGCTTTCCTGGAGGAGTACAAGGCAAAGCTCACGGAGGAGCAGAAAGACGTCTTGCGAAAGATGTATGAGGTCAGGGGTGACATCATCACTGGCTTGGGTGCCCACAAGCGAGCTTCTGTTGACTATCAGTCAGCACAAGCGCTCGGAGCACAGGTGTCTGAGAAGGTGGCCAAAGCGCAGGGAGCAACAAAGGAACCTGCATCGTCTGGCTCTGCTGCTAAGGTACCTGTTACTGTGCTCACAGGGTTTCTGGGCAGTGGCAAGACAACCCTCCTGAACCACATTCTCAAGGAGTTTCATGGAAAACGCATCGCTATCATCGAGAATGAATTTGGAGAGGTGGGCATTGATGACAGTCTCATTGAAACAGGGCCTATGGCGCTGGAGGAAAACATCATCGAGATGAACAATGGCTGTATATGCTGCACTGTCCGTGGCGACCTGATCGCTGGACTCAAGAAGATCCTGAAAAGGTCCATGAAGGACGGCAAGACCTTGGACGGAGTCATCATCGAGACCACTGGGCTAGCCGATCCTGCGCCAGTGGCTCAGACGTTCTTTGCCGATGACTTTGTTCAGCAGAAGATGCAGTTGGATGGCATTGTGACTCTGGTGGATGCGAAGCACCTCATCATGCACCTCGACGAGGAGAAGCCAGAAGGTGTCGAGAATGAAGCGGTTGAGCAGGTTGCATTTGCGGATCGTATCATCCTGAACAAGTGTGATCTGGTTGACGAGCCCCACCTTGTGGAGGTTGAGAGGCGGATTCGGATGATCAACGAGTCCGTGAAGATCAAGCGTGCAACAAACTCCATCGTGGACATGGACTTCATCATCGGCATACAGGCCTTCGACTTGGACAAGATCTTGGAGATGGATGATGGCTTCCTGGAGGATGAGCAGGATCATCAGCATGATGACCGGGTCACCTCATGCGGCTTTCACGTCAAGGGTGAGATCAGTCAGCAGAAGCTGAATGACTGGCTTGGATGGCTGCTGAAAGAGAAAGGCAATGACCTGTTCCGGACAAAGGGCGTTCTGGCCGTCCAGGGCATGCAGGAGAAGTTCGTCTTCCAGGCCGTTCACATGGCTTTCAAGAATTCAACGGCGAAGGTGTGGCAGCCAGATGAGGAGCGAATCTGCAAGCTCACTTTCATCGGCAAGAATCTGAATCGCCAGGAGCTTGAGGACGGCTTCAAGAAGTGCTTGGTGAATGGGTCAGGCGGCTATGCTGCGAAGTGATTGAGAAAGCCGCGAGGCACTTTTGTACGCCAGTTTTGACGCATGCTCGATAACCATAGATGTAAGCGTGCTGATGCACCGTGAGGGGTGGTACATACCAGCAAGCAGTGTGCTGCACAGTGTGCTATTCTTGTACAGGCCAAGTTGTTTGCTACACATACCCCACATTTGCCCTGCGTGAAATGTTTCCAAAAGCGCGACCATGCCCCTTCGGAAGCTTCACATACCTCATCTCTGAGTGCGGCTGCACATACCTACGGCATCCCTGCAGAATCCGTTCAAGGCCGTATCTCATCTTTTAGAAACCTCAGTTAATTGTCCCAGCAGAATCCCCAGATATCACCGCTGCGGGGCCTGCAATCATTATGAAGTCGTTCTTTCGACTGATGTATCGGATATCGCGTTCTAAGGTAGCTCCAGGCGGCAAGCCCCCCATAGTGCATGTAAAAACTCTCACTATGCTTGTGTACCCCTTGCCCGCTCTTCATGCCAACTGCTCTCCGTTTGAGAAATCCTAGGACCCCAAAACTTGGAACCTTGACCCAAAGCCCGAAACTTTAAACCAAACAGTAAGCCACCCCTAAACCCTAAACCCTAAACCCCTGGGCCTCCCAAACCCTTAGGCGCCATAGCTCCCAAACCCGAAGCCCTAAGCCCGCCTGAATCCAATCCCACACCTTAATACTCGGAACCGTATGTAATATTAGGGGGTGTATTTACCGTACGACCCGAACGGGGTAATTGGAATCTGAATAAATCATGGACAATTCCATTAAATCTAAAAAAGGGATATTTGGGACTTGTTAGGGACTATCTCAAATTAGGGCCTTATTGCTTGTCTTGAAATTAGGGCTTATGAGGGACTAGTTCAGATGAGGGGGTTATGAGGCACTATTTCAAATTAGGGCCTTATTAGGCACTATTTCAAACTAGTTCCGTATCAGAAACTATTTCAAATCAGGGCCTTACTAAGGATAATTTCAAATTAGGGACTGTTTCGAACTAGGACCCGATTGAAGATTATTTCAAATCAAAGCCTTAATGGGGGCTCGTCCAAACTAGGGCCTCACTAGGGCTAATTTCAAATTAGGGCCTCTTTAGGGACTGTTTCAAATTAGGGCCGTATTAGGGACTATTTCAAATCAAGGCCTTAATGGGGACTATCCAAATTAGGGCCTCATTAGGTGTAATTTCAAATTAGGGATTTATCTGGGACTGTTTTGAATTAGGGCCTTTTTCAGGGACTATTTCAAATTAGGGCCGCATTAGGGACTATTTCAAGTTAGGGCCTTATTAGGGACTATTCTATTCCAAATTGAGGCCTTGGAATCTGTTTCTGGAAATCTTTTATAAAGTTCTGGATACAAACAATTCAAAAACAATCAAAATCCAGGAAATCAAGGAGATCCCTAATCCTTAAGAGTCGCGCTAAGACGCCCCCTAGTTCAGAGGATCCCAGCCGCAATTAACTTTAGTCTTGGCCCTTTAAAATATAGTCACCCTAAACCCTAAACCCTAAACCCTATAAACCCTAAACCCTATAAACCCTAAATTGGGGGCAGCTTTCAGAATTTGGAATTTTGGCGAACCAGTATTTACTATTGGAGAGGTGTATAATATTCATATAAGGGGAAGCGATTCGTAGTTTCAATTTTCTTTTCTATTCCTTCATTCCCAGCCTAAACCCTATGCCCCAAAGTAGATTCCATCTTATTCTCCATTCTCCCTATATAACCCCTAACATACTGTAATACATTATATATATAATATACTACGGTATAATATATTCTAATCTACACCCAGTAACTCCTGAAGCTGCAAGGCGCTGATGCCCAGGTGCAAGCCTGCACCCAGGCTCTGCTCCCCGCTTCTGCACGGAGCCCGGGTCGGGTCGGAGTTGGGGGGAGCTCCGGAGTTCCTGTGCTTAGGGTTGATTTAAGGTTAGATTTTTTTGGTACGCAATTTATATATATGTATATATATATAGAGACGAGTATCATATCTGTATGTGGGTATAAACTTATAATATATCTATATACATACACATGTATATATACATATACACACACACAGGTAGCAGGTGTAGGGTTTACTTGTTTTTATCAAAGCAAGACGTTTTCAACTGCAAAGACAATAACGAAAGGGACCACTCAACGACTCCAAAACATAGGGTCTAGGCCCGAAACCTTAAACCCTAAGGTTTGCACCTTGGCTGTGCAATGCCTGGGTTTGGTGTGTTCTGGGGTTTTCCCTCATGATACTCCGGACCATATAGACATTAGGGGGGATCCCCCATGTTTATGTCGTTCGGACATCACTTCCCTAAACCCTAATTAGGCCCTAAACCCTTGATTGGGGTAATATGTTCCCCCTCGAATTCTGTGGAACCGGAAGGCCTACACCCTATGCTGGTTTGCTGTTAAGGAATTAACTTGCCATAGTAAGGAAGTCCGTATTATGGTGAGTCCAAGGTGTCTGAATACGTACCCCAAGCCTGGGCCCCGCATGCCACAGCCAGGAGGGTTCGGGGTTTTAGGGTTTAGGGTTTCAGGGTCTAGGGATTTAGGGCAACAAATGCTTTACAAATCTAGCCTTGAGCTTCAAACTTCACGCAACCTTCTGGCCATTGGTTGGCTAGGAATGCAGGAATGGATCCTTATAGTAGTCCCTATCAAACCCATTTTAGTTGTGTTCTGAGGTTCCGCTGGAGCTGTGGATAGAGCGCCGAATCGGCGGCGAGATTGAGATTCACTGGGACCACCACAGTTTAGGGTTTAGGGTTTAGGGTCAGCATACCCAAAATCATGGGCTTAGGGTTCATGGTCAGAGTCCAAGGGAGCTCATTGGGTGGTCACAGGGGCTGCCTTCTTAATGGGGATGCAAGTATTCTGGGCGTATGGAACCCTGCCAAGAATTGCTTGCTGGGGGTTAGTAGGGAATAAGGGAATATAATATATTGGGATTATGTAGGGACTATATTCCCACATTCCCTACTAACCCCCAATAAGATTAAGGATGTGCATGTACGTCGTGAAGACATGCTCCTGTGAGATTAAGGATGTGCATGTACGTCATGAAGACATGCTTCTCCGGCTTTTGTCTCAGACTCTAGCCAGAGGGCGCGAAAAGGTCATTTGCCAGTGGTACATCAAATGTTGATGAATCATTCGGGGGCAATTGGATTCAAGAATGTAGCGCCGCATCTCACCAATTGATGTGATCGTCAATGCTAAGACCGTGTCACGCTGTGAAGTCTAACATGTGCAGCATACTCATAACATTCATGTTCCCACGAAACTGACATCCTTTTTGACATGCTTGTGTTTAAATGGTTGGAAGCTTGTTTCTTTCACTGTCTTGCTATAAATTACATGCGACTGCCGGGGGAGCTGACCAATCTTCCAGGACTACCTCCTGATTCGATTACGCTTCTAGGTAGGCGAGCTGCCAACTTGTACTGTAACCAGGCAATGGCTTATGATTTCTCTTGGTCACCATTTAGCCGCGGCTTGCGAAGGTGGCAGATGCGCACTTTCTCTCAAACTTATCTTGATAGAATCCTTGGTAGTGACCCCCATGGTCCGTTTGCAATCGCTGTCTTTCCCTACGTTCCCCAGGATCCCCTTTCTTGCATCTAACGAAAGTTTTTTGGAAGTCTTTCATCACATTTTCTGAAATTTCGTTACAGCACTTCCCCGTTTGCCTGGCCTCCCCATGCTCTACATGTTACTTGCAGGCCGGGGAAAATGCACTATAGTAGGTCTTGTAGGGATGCATGTTGTTGGGTTATAGTCGCAGTCATAATAGGGTTCCGCAAGCACGCGGCAAAACCATGGCTGACCGGGACCGCATTTCGTGCAAGCGCATGGCACAGGGAGCGGGGACGCAAGCGCAGTAGGAAGCCCGAGCTGAGCGGCATGAAGCTGCAGACACGGCAACTCACTCCTGTCTGTATTGTAACAGCTATAATTTCATCAGCTGGTTCTCAGATGTAAAGGCTCTAGCGGCCCTGACTGGCAGATCTAGACAACCTGATGTATCAACGTTCTTGGGGGGCTGTGCTAAAGGCATTTGGACGAATCCTGCAGTCTCACCTCAATAACGATCAACACAGTGAAAAGATGTTAGTGGTTCTGGTTACCATTGTGCAAGATTCAGCTTTTTGGTCAGGACCAGGGCCGCGAGGTCATCCAAGTCACGCAGGAGGCCAGGTCAGGGAATAAGATACTACACAAATAACCCCTATAT